AAAAAGAATAAGTACAAATTGGTTGCTAGACTGACAAACCTCAAAGGGAAGGGGTTTTGGGATAGGAAGAAATAAACCAAAGAACTTATGCATATATGCATGGCCAATGAACACAGACAACAGTGTAGTTCCCTAGGCAGGAGGGGGGCAGGAGTGGGGAGGAGGTAGTCAATAGGAGAAAAAGGAGGAACATCTGTAATACATTCAACAATAAAAATAAGTTTAAAAAAAAGGTAAGAAATCAAAACACTAATTTGAAAAGATATATGTATCCCCTTGTTCCTTGCAGATTTATTTACAATAACCAAGATATGGAAACAACTCAAGTGCCCATCAATAGATGATTAGATAAATAAGATGTGAGAAGCCCTGGATGGGTAGCTTAATTGGTTAGAGTGTCCTCCTGATACACCAAGGTTAGAGGCTCAATCCCTGGTCAGGGCACATGTAAGAATCAACCAATGCCCTGGCCAGTTTGGCTCAGCGGTTAGAGCGTTGGCCCACGGACCAGAGTCCCGGGTTTGGTTCCTGCTAAGGGCACATACCTTGGTTGTGGTTCGCCCCTGGCCCCAGTTGGGGTCGTGTGGGTGGCAACCAGTCGATAGATGTGTCTCTCTCACGTCGATGTTTCTCTCTCTCTCTTCCTCCCTCCCTCCTTCCTGCTCTATCTGAGGATAAATGCAAAAGTGTCCCCGGGTGAGGATAAAAAAAAAAGAATCAACCAATGAATGCCTAAATGTAAGTGGAACAACAAATCAATGTTTTTCTCTCTCTCTCAAATCAATAAACTTTTTTAAAAAGATGATACATATATGCAATGGAATATTACTCGGCCATAAAAATGAATGAAATCTTACCATTTGTGGCATGCTGTATCACTCAGGAGCATTCCTGTGCCAATCCTCACCCTTTCTTCTTCCCCAGAGTCACATCTTTGCCATTCTTTCTCCTAAATTCCAAGGGCCCTTTTTCTGCTTCTGTGATTTGTTTTCTGAGCCTATGCAGCCCAGCTGGCTCACTTCTACTACCTCTGCAACTATCTAAATAAACTTTCTCTTATAATTTGGGGGAAAAAAAGAAATCTTACAATTTTAGCCATTTATGAACCTAGAGGGTATTATACTAAGTGAAATAAGACAGAGAAAGATAGATACCATATGATTTCACTTATATGAGGAATTTAAAAAACAAAATAAATGAGTAAACAAAACAGAAACAGACTCATAGATAACAGAGAACAAACCGATGGTTGCCAGATGGGAGGGGGTTTTAGGGGCTGGGTGAAAAAGGTAAAGGGACTAAGTACAAATTTATAATTATAAAATAGTCTCAGAGATGTATAATACAGCACAGGGAATATAGTCAATAATACTGTAATTATCTATGGTGTCAAGTGAACACTAGACTTAACAGGGGATCACTTCATAAGTTACATAAATATCTAATCAATACGTTGTACACCTAAAAGTAATGTAATATTGAATATCAACTGTAATTTAAGAAATTTCTTTAGCCACCCAAACTTTTAGCAACCACCACCCTTTTCAGTCAGCAGCCATAAACATCCAAGCCAACTCTGCCGATAAAAAAAATTATGACTCACTGAAGGCTCAGATGATGGCTAGCATTTTTTAGCAATAAGGTATATTTTTTTAGGTACATGCCTCTAGCGCGAACCGAACCCGGGACTCTGGTCCACAGGCTGACGCTCCAACTGCTGAGCCAAACCAGCCATAGCACAGTAAGGTTTTTTTAAAAAAAATACCTTATTTTTTTAGATACATATATTGGTCTTGTTGGGTTTTTTTTGGACAATGTTACTGCACACTTAATAGACCTTGGTATAGTGTAGACATAACTTATATGAGCTGGGAAACCAAAAAATGTATGTGACTTTATTTTGATGTTTGCTTCATTGTGGTAGTCTGAAACAGAACCACAGTATCTCCAAAGTCTGCCTGAATTAAAATAAAGAGCTCAGGGGATGTCCTCTACAGCGGAATGGATGGGACAGAGAAAAAGATCGGTCAATTTGAAGACAGGAAGGGAAACTGTCCAATCTGAACAACAGAGAGAAAATAGACAAAACCTTAAACAGAGTCTAAGGTATGCGTGGAACTATAATAAAAGACTAAAATCTGTGTAATGAGTATCCTGGAAGAAAAAAGCAGGTGGGGCTAAAAATGCACCTGAAGAAAAAAATGGCTCAAGGCTTTTCTTATTCGGAAAGAGACATAAAATGACAGATTCAAGAAGTAAACTCCAAACCAATAATTCAAAGAAATCCATGGCAATACACATAATAAACTTCTGAAAACTAAAGACAAAAGAAGAAAAAGCCTTAGAAATTACCAAAGAAAAAATGCTATCTTCCCTATAAAAGAAAAGGAAATCCAGACAACAGCCAATCTCTGATCAGAAGCTATGCAGGCAGAACAAAGGGCTCGTATTCCCAACTGAGAGGAAACAGTCAACCATGGATACCACCTCCAGTGAAAACAGCCCTCAAGAATTAGGAGGGATCAAACCATTCTCAGATGAATCCAAAACTGTGCATTTGCCACCAGCATACTTACCCTAAAAGAATAGTAGAAGAAAATGTGTTAAAACAGAAAGGAAACAAATGAAAGGTTTCAGAACAGGTGCCTAAGATGGGCCAGTCAGCATGTGGGTTGCTTTGAGTTGAAGGTATTTGAGGCCCTGAGGGCCCAGGAGACACTTCTCCCTTGAAGAATTTGAATTGGGGCTTTGCCCATAATAGTTATCACCAGAAATAACTGTTTTTGAGCTCTCAATAGGGCAGGCAAACTAACTTCTAATCACTAAACACCTGCTCTTCTCTTTGTCCTGCAATGAGAGCTCCTCCCCCTGAAGCCCCAGGTGTCCAAACTCTTCCTTATTTCAGAATGTCACACCTACTTCATTTTACCTTTCTGTCTGGAACATCTCATGTATGTGAGGTTCCTATACGTATATATGTATTAGATTTGGTTATTTCCTCTTGTTAATGTGTCTCATGTAGACTTAATTAGTAGATAATTCAAACAAACCTAGAATAGCAGAGAAAAATTTCTCCCACCCCCTCACAATAAAAGAAGAAAAATCTTTTTAAGTTTTCTAAATCAGGTTTGATAGTTAAAGCAAAATTTGTAACACTGAGATGTACTTATAAATGTATTAAAGGAACTATTTAAATCAATTGTGTTGGAAAGAGGAAGGATGAACTCAAAGGTGTGATAAGTTATACATATATAATGTAATATCAAAGTAATCTCTAAAAATGCTGTATTGAAAAAAACTATTTGGTTGACAAACTTTAGTGAGGCTCCTGAACCTACTCCTGGGCCCATCTGTGTACTTGCCTGTAAAAATCCACCCCTCATATCTGATCATCCAGGTTCCTCACCCTCTACCACCCCCAGGTGACATCTGATAACCCTGGACTTTTTTCAGCAAGAATCCTGTTAGGTCAGTTTTGCCAGAACATCTGCTGTGATACAGTAATTTATGGTATTTGGTCTTCGCCACTCTCTGGCACAGAGTCCTAAAACCTTGTAATTTCCTAAGTGAGCAACAAAGGTGTCTTTAGTTATGTTAATATGGTGACTCTGAACCTAAGGATGGGGCTGTTTACCAGGGGAACCAATCAGTGAGTAGAGGGTTAAATCAGTCCCATTCCCTCCCTACACCTCCAGAGAAGAAAGGGAGGCTGGAGGTTGAATCAATAGCCAACAGCCAATGATTTAATCAATCACAACAATGTAATAAGCCCTCCATAAAACCCCAAAAGGATAGGGTTCAGAGAGCTTCTGGGTTGGTGGACACGTGGAGATGCAGGGAGTGGTGGGCTCAGAGAGCATGGAAACGCCTCGCCCCTTCCCACTATCTTGCTTGTACATCTCTTCTATCTGGCTGTTCCTGAGTCATATTCTTTTATAATGAACCAGTGATCTAATAAGTAAAATATTTCTCTGAGTTCTGTGGGCCACTCTAGCAAATTAATCAAACCCAAGGAGGGGGTTGTAGGAACCTCTGATTTATAGTCAGTTGTTCAGAAGTATAGGTGACAAGCCTGGGCTTGTGACTGGTCTGAAGTGGGAGAGGTGGGAGTGCAGTCTTGCAGGACTGAACCCTTAGCCTGTGGGATCCATACTGTCTGTGAGAATATTTTGTGGACAAGGGGGAAACCTCTCCCCCCATATTAGAGATTGGGTCTCAGAACACCCAAAAGTCCCCGTTATCCTGATATTTCCTCTAAGTTAATTTTCCATCCACTGACCACCCCCACCCCCTAATTCTGCTCCTTGGCTACAAATTCTCTCGTCCATGCTGTATTTGGAATTGAGTCCAATCTTTGTCCCCTACTGTAAAATACCATTGCGGTGGTCCCTACAACTACCACAATGGTACTGAATAAAGTCTACCTTACCATCTTTAAACAAGTATCATTGAATATTTTTTCTTTAGAAATATAAAGAAATACACTCAACAATACAGTAGGTAAATAAAAATGGAGTTCTAAAAAATGTTCGAGCCCTGGCTGATTTGGCTCAGTGGTTGGAGCGTCAACCCTCCAGACTAAAGGGTCTTGGGTTCAGTCTCAGTCAAGGGCATGTACTTGGGTTGCAGATTTGATACCCAGCCCCGGTTAGGGTTGTGTGGGACATAACTAATCAATGTGTCTCTCTCATATCAATGTTTCTCTCTCTCCCTCCCTCCCTCCCTTCCACTCTATCTAAAAATCAATGGAAAAATATCCTCGAGTGAGGATTAACAAAAACAAACAAACAAAAAAACCAAAAACAAAAAATGCTGAGTAACCAATGGGAAGGCTAGAACAAGAAAACAGAGAAAGAAAACACAGAACAAAAAGGGGAAGAGACAGATTTAAGCCCAAACATGTTAATAACTATGTTAAAATACAAATGGTCTAAATATATCAGTTAACACAGCAACTGTTAGTGGATTACAAAACATGACTCATCTACATGCATACCTCGAAGACATGGAGGTGCAGGTCTGAATGTGTTTCTGCAGAAATTAAGAGAAAGCTGGCAATAGTAACGCCATGTTACAAGCCTTAAAGACATTAAAGTCATTATGGTTCCTGAAAATGGCAATGAAATAAATAAATAAAATAAAAATAAAAACCAGTGACAACATCAAATGTTAGCAAGGATGCAGGGAATGTAGTGGGAATGTAAAATGGTACAGTCACTCCAGAAAATGATACCAAACAACACAATAATTGCATACCTGGGCACGTGTTTTCAGAGAAATGAAGACTGATGTTCACACAAAAACCTGTATATGAATGTTTAGAGTGGTATTATGCAAAATGCCCTAAAGTGGAAATAACTCAGATCTCCTTCAGCAGGTGAATGGTTCAATTGATTGTGGTACATCCACACAATGGGGTCTCCTCAGCAATAAAAACAGAATGGACTACTGATACATGCAAAACACTTGGTTGAAGCTCCATAGAATTATGCTGATTGAAAAAAAAACATCCCCTGTAAGGTTGGCACCATATCTGCAGATGAGTAAATGTGATACATAACATAAACAAAATAAAGGATAAAAACCACATGATTGTATCAACAGATGCAGAAAAAGCATTTGATAAAATTCAGCACCCATTTATGATAAAAAAATCTCAGCAAAGTGGGAACAGAGGGATCATACCTCAACATAATAAAGGTCATGTATCACAGACCCACAGATAATATCATATTCAATGGGCAAAGAACAAGCATTTCCCTTAACATAGGGAACAAGACAAGGATATCTGCTTTTACCGCTCTTATCCAACACAGTCCTGGAAGTCCCAGACACATCAATCAGACAAGAAGAAATAAAAGGCATCCAAATTAGAAAGGAAGAAGTAAAATTATCATTATTTGTAGATGACATGATACCATCAAAAAAGATTCCACCAAAAAACTACAAGAACTGATAAGTGAATTCAGTAAAATAGTAGGATACAAAATAAATATCCAGAAACCAGTTGCATTTTTATACACTGATAATAAACTATCAGAAAGAGAAACTAAGAAAACAATCCCACTCACAACTGCTTCAAAAACATAAAATACCTAAGAATAATTTTAACCAAGGATGTAAAAGACCTGTATTCAGAAAATTATAAGACACTGAAGAAAGAAACTGAAGAAGATACAAATAAGTAGAAGCATATACCATGTTTTTGGTTAGGAAGAATTAACATCATTAAAATGTCCATACTACCAAAAGCAATCTATAGATTCAATGCAATTCCTATCAATATACCAATGGTGTATTTCACAGAACTAGAACAAATATTTCAGAAATTTACATGGGAACCCAAAAGAGCCCAAATAGCAATAGCAACCTTTAGAAAAAAGAAGGTGGAATAATCATGCTACCTGATATCAAACTATATTACAAGGCCCTAGTAATCAAAACAGCATGGTACTGGCATAAATACAGACACAGAGATCAATGAAATAGAATAGAAAGCCCACAAAGAAACCCATGCCTTTGTAGTCAATTAATATTTGACAAAGGAGGCAAAAACATACAATAGGGTAAAGACAATCTATTCAATACTGGACAGATACATGCAAAAAAAATGAAACTAGACCACCTTCTTACACTACACACAAAGATAAACTCAAAATTGATTTAAGACTTAAATGTTAGACTCAAAACCATAATAATCCTAGAAGAAAACATAGGCAGTAATTCTTGGACATTTCTCATAGCAATATGTTCTCTGATACATCTCCTCGGGCAAGAAAAACAAACAAAATACAAACAAATGAGATTATATCAAACTAAACATAACAATATTTTCTCTGATATATCTCCTCAGGCAAGAAAAACAAAAGAAATATAAACAAATAAGACTACATCAAACTAAATATTTTTTGCATAGCAAAAGAAACCATCAGCAAAATTAAAAGACAACCCACTGAATGGAAGGACATATTCACCAATACATCTAATACGGGGATAATATCCAAAATTTATAAAGAACTTATAAAACTCAACACCAAAAAAAAAAAAAAAAAACAAATTAAAAAATGGGCAAAGGACTCTGGCCGGTTTTGCTCAGTGGTTAGAGCATCGGCCTGCAGACCAGAGAGTCCCAGGTTTGGTTCCCGCTAAGGGCGTGTACCTGGTTGCAGTTTGTCCTCGACCCCAGTTGGGGTCGTGTGGGTGGCAATCACTCCATGTGTCTCTCTCACATCAATGTTTCTCTCTCTCTCTCTCTCTTCCTCCCTCTCTCCCTCCTGCTCTATCTGAAAATAAATGCAAAAAAAAGGGCAAAGGACCTAAATAGACACTTCTCCAGATGACAAATAGCCAATAGAGATATAAAAGAGGCTCAATGTCACTAGTCATCTAAAAAATGGAAATTAGCCCTGGCCAGTTTGGCTCAGCGGTTAGAGCGTCGGCCTGCGGTCGGGAGAGACCCGGGTTCGATTCCCGCTAAGGGCACGTACCTCGGTTGCAGTTTGTCCCCGGCCCTGGTTGGTCGTGCGGGTGGCAGCCACTCGATGTGTCCCTTCACGTCGATGTTTCTCTCTCTCTCTCCCTCCCACTCTATCTGTACAAAAAATGGAAAAGTGTCCTCGGGTGAGGATTAAAAAAAAATAAAATAAAATAAAAAAAATAAATAAAAAATGGAAATTAAAACCACAATAAGATATCATGCCACACCTATCAGAATGGCTATCATCAATAAATCAACAAATAACAAGTGTTGGTGAGGATATGGAGAAAAAGGAACCCTTGTGCACTGTTGGTGGGAATACAGATTGGTGCAGTCACTGTGGAAAGTTGTATGGAGTTATCTCAAACATTAAAAATGGAACTCCCTTATGACCCAGTGATTCCACTTCTGGGAATTTATCTGAAGAAGTATGATACATTATTTTGAAAGAATATATGCACCCTATGTTCAATGCAGTGTTATTCATAATAGTCAAGATCTAGAAGCATCCCAACGGTCAACCAGTAGATTAGTGGAATAAAAAGCTGTGGTACATTTACACAATGGAATACTACTTGGCCATAATTTAAAAAAAAAAAAAGGAAATCTTCAGCATGGATGGACCTCGAGAACATTATGCTAAGTGAAATATGCCACTAAGAGACAGACAAGTACCATATGATTTCACTCATATGTGAAATCTAATAAACAAAATGAACTCACAAGCAAAACTGAGACATAGAGAACAGGCTGACAGCTGGGGAGAAGGCATGAGGGTGGGGGGGACTTAAGGGGAGAGTGAAGGATTTGAAAAAAAAACTCATGGACATGGACAACAGTGTAGAGATTGCTGAGAGGAGAGGAGCTGAAGGGAGGAGAGGATCTGAAGGGAGGAGAGGAGGGTTTAGGGGGGGATAAATGGTGATGGATAGAGATTTGACTTGGAGTGGTGAACATACAATACAGTGTACAGATGATGTGTTGTAGAATTGTGCACCTGAAACCTATATAATTTTGTTAACCAGTGTCATCCCAATAAATTTAATAAAAAGAAAAAAGATGTCCATCTCCAAACATGACATACTATATGAACCCACCTACTTAATGTTTCTGAAACAACACTATCAGATGGAGAACACATCAGAAATCAATGAAAGGCTGGGGTGAGAGCAGTGGATATGGCTGTAAAAGGCAACAGAAGCATCCTCTGAAAACAAACATTCTGTATCCTATATGTACTAATGTCAGAATGCTGCTTATGACATTGTATTGTATCTATAAGACATTACCATTCAGTGTGAAGAGTATAAAGGGTCTGTTATTTCTTACAAATGCGGGAAAATCTACGATTACCTAAAAAAATAAATAAAAACAACTTTATGTGCACTCATGTTCAAAGCAGAATCATTCACAGTAGCCAGAAGGCAGAAGCAACCCAAGTATCCATCAAAGAATGAAATGCCCTGGCTGGTGTGGCTTAGTAGGTTGGGCATTGTCTCATGCACCAAAAGGTTGCCAGTTTGATTCCTGGTCAGGGCACATGCCTGGGTTTCAGGCTTGATCCCCAGTAGATGGTGGCCTGCACGAGGCAGCCAATAGATGTTAGGCTCTCACATCGATGTTGCTCTTTCTCTCTGTTTCTGTCTCTCTCTCTCTCTCTCTCCCCCCACCTTCCTCTCTCTAAAAATGAATAAAAATATATTTTTTTAAAAAGAATAAATGGTAAGCACAATGGGTTATATACACACCAAGAAATATCATTTAACCCTAACAAAGAACATTCTGACACATGCTACATCAGGAATAAGCCTTGAGGCCATTACACTGAGGGAAATAAGCCAGACACAAAAGAACAAATGCTGTATGGTTACACTTATGTGTACTCTCTAGAGTGAGGTTGGGATGGTGAGTGCAGAGGACAGAGGTATAGGGGAATGGGGAATTATTACAGAATGGCTGAGAAAGGTATCAAAGAAATCTACATTTTCCCTCCCCTTTTTCACTGGAAAGGACACCAAGATGCCAAAAAGATAGATGGGGACTCCAGGATGTTTATTGTCCACCACCATTGTCCACACAAGCTCCCAAAGGTGGCAACACAGCCAACAAAGTGAGCAGCCCAGACTATGGGGCAGGAGGAGGGATGGGAGTCACATAAACTCATATCTGTCCTTAGTTTTTAGGCTGGGGCTGAACAGCCTGTATGGCAGACAGCAAGCTGGCCAGGGTCCTGGAAAAGCTGCCCTGTAGCTAACAGAGAGGCAAAGTGGGGTTTTCAAGGGCTCTTGCAGGAGTCACTCACCAGGGGCAGCTGGAGAGCAGTCACCTGCTGTGCATCCCTCAAACTCGCTTCCTGAAGTAGGGATGGGTCTTGTAGAACTGAAAGAGATGAGAAAAGGGTATCTCATAATCCCAGGTCTCTTTTCTTACATACAAAGGGAGGATTATAAAATAATGCAGATAAAAAGCTTTGGAGAAACCACAAGATTTCTGTTACTTTGCTTTCAGACCCAACAATGGGGACTTCAACAGGGAGTGGCTGGGCTTGAGTTGGCCCTGCCAAGTCACAATGTAACTTCCCACAGGTGTAAGGACCTCAACTTCATGATCCAAAATATAGAGAAAATAAAGATCAGAACTCTGAGTCAAGATCAGTAAGAGCTGCCTGAAGTTTACTGTGAGGCTCCAGGGTCATAGAAGTGTATACATCTGTAAGTTTGTAAACTATAAACTCCAGAAAAAAGGCTGTGTCACTGTTAGGTGCCCCTGGAAAGAGTACTTGTTACAGTGCCCTAACCATCATCACTGTAAGTGCAGAATATAGCACTGCAATCACCTCATTTGGCCTGATCTTGAGGCCTGGGTGTAGGGGGTACTATTACAACAGAACTTCTCTCCCTGACTGGCAACTACACTTTGCTCAGGCTTCTGTAAGCAGTGAGCCACATATCTGGCCCTGGATGCAGCCACATAAAAATAAGCTGTGTTTTTAAAGGTGCTCCTTTCATAGAGTAAGACTTGGAAAGCTGCACTATCATCTCTTGGTCTCCTAAAGGTTGACCCCAGGTCACATATTAAATCAGTTTCAATGCTGACACAGAAGCTAGTGTCCCTCACCAGGATGCAGCAAGGACAGGTGCAGCTATTTAGAACAAGGGTCTGGAACAGGAAGCAGAACAGGAGACGGCTTAGCCAGCAGTGATATTGGAGGTAGCTGAGGGAGGCAGCCTCCTTACTCTGCTAGGGGAAGCTAAGGCTGGGTGGGTATGGATGTGAGGGGTGATTTCATTCTGCTCTCTCATACCTGCCACCTTCTGGAGGATGAATGACAGCCTCACCCTACCTTTCCCCTGGGACTTGAGTACACAGACACTTTTACAGCTCACTGGAAAGCATTCATCCTCTAAAGAAGATCTAGCTTTTTGGAAAGATTTTCATGATTAGGAACTATATGGCTTTTACTTGAGGTTCATCCCAACAATAAATCACTTCCTAGTAACTAACCCATCACTTCTACTCTGTCCATTTACTATTGCTCAGGGTAATTAAAGGAGCTGTGTCTTTTGACCAGAAGTCCATTGGTGGCATATTTCCAAAATCCCCCAGAAGTACCAGGTTAGGCTGGGGAAGCTTCTCCTGAGGGGATTCCTGACACCCACAACCTGCATACCCCAGGCTGCCTGCACATGCAGCGTTCATTTGGGCTATTGGTTGCTTCCTTTATGCCTGTTGTTACAGGCTGAACTATGTCCGCATCAAATTCACATCTTGAAGTTGCTACCCCCAGGACCTTAAAATGTGACTACATTTGGAGATGGGAGTCTTTCAAAAGATAACTAAGCTAAAATAAAATCTTTATGATGGGCTCTAACCCAATAGGACTGATGTCCTTATAAGAAGAGATTAAGCCCTGGCCAGTTTGGCTCAGCAGTTAGTGTCCGCGCATAGACCAGAATCGCAGGTTCGATTCTACTCAAGGGCATGTACTTCAGTTGCGGTTTGTCCCTGGCCCTGGTTGGGGCCATGCAGGAGGCAACCAGTCAATGTGTCCCTCTCACATGGATGTTTCTCTCTCCCTCTCCCTTCTTCCCACTCTAAAACTATCCTTGGGTGAGGATAAAAAACAAAAAGAAGAGATTAAGCCCTGGTGGGTAGCTCAGTTGGTTATAGCGCCCCCCACCCCCCCAACCAGTACACCAAAAGGTGATGGGTTTGATTCCCGGTCAGGGCACATACCCAGGTTTTTCAATTTGATCTTCAGTAAGGGCATGTGTAGGAGGCAACCGACTGACGTTTCTTTCTCACATCAATGTTTCTCTCTCTCTCTCTCCCGCCTCCCTTATTCTCTTTAAGATCAATTAAAAAAAATTTTTTAAATAGTAAAATAATAAATTTTATTTTTAAAAAAGAAGAAGAGATTAAGATACAGACACACACAAGGGACAACTATGGGAGGACACAGGGAGATGACGACCGTCTACATGCCAAGGAGAGAGGCCTCAGAAGGAACCAGCCCTGCTGACTCCTGGATCTTGATCTTCCAGCCTCCAGTACTGGAAGAAAGTAAATGTCTGTTGTTTAAGCCATCCTGTCTGTGAGACTTTGTTCAAACATTCCTAAAAAACTAACAAAATTATCTGTACTGTTAACCAAGGAGAGGCTGAAGAGTTTGATACAGAAGTCAATATAGTTTCACCCATGAAGAAATTTAATATGCGCTTTTTTTAAATTGAAAAACTTATTAACAATGTAAAGGACAACTGTGAATCTCAAGAATACTCTCCTGGCATGCCCTCTCCTTTCCATCTGTTATCTATAGCACAATGTGGCAAGTCTGCTCAAAGTAGCCCTCACACCACAGAGGTCACTTACTCAACCTGAGGGCAGCACAACTTTCCATAAAGATTACTTCAACTTGCCCTGGCTGGTTTGGCTCAGCGGTTAGTGTGTTGGCCCGTGGACCGGAGAGTCCCGGGTTCGGTTCCCACTAAGGGCACGTACCTTGGCTGCAGCTTGTCCCCGGCCCCGGTTGGGGTCGTGTGGGTGGTGACCACTTGATATGTCTCTCTCACATTGATGTTTCTCTGTCTCTTCCTCCCTCCCTCCCTCCTGCTCAATCTGAAGATAAATGCAAAAGTATCCTCGGGTGAGGATTAAAAAGAAAAGATTACTTCAACTCAAAATCATGACTGGCTCAGGTACCCTGCTCAGCATTTTATGTATATAATTCTTTAATCCTCAAGAAACCCAATAAGGGTAATGATTATCTCCTTTGGATGGACCAGAAAACTGAGGCTTGCAGAGTTTAGAAGCAAGCCCTGGGTTATAGCGAGGGGATTCAAAGTCAAGTAAACCTGGTACAAAACCACCTGCCTATAGCCACCAGCATACTTTATATAGATATTCAGACATGGCTAGGTGACATCCAAGCCGCATATCCTAAGACACAAACCTGTTCCCTTGGAAAGTATTTCTGTATTTCCTTGTAACATCATAACAAGTCTGAGATCAAGAGTTGTTTAACAGAGAAAGAGGTTGAGAGAAACCAGTGGACATGACCACAGTTGGCTCTTGACAACAGGTTCCTGACAACAGTGCTTGGATGTCCCCCAAATGACAAAGCCCAGAAATGTGCCCTCACAAAGATGACGGTAACCCTGGCTGGTTTGTCTCAGTGGTTATTGCATTGGCCACAGACCAGACAGACCAAGAGAAGATGGTGCAGCCTCAAAGACACACCCCCTACAACAGAGGTCCCTCTGGGTGAACGGGACACCATTGAAATAACAGACACCCTCAGGAAATTCTGATTCAATCACTCTAGGCAGGAACCCAGACCTTGAAATTGGTTTATGGCTCCTCAGCGGACAAGAGAGAACTACTGAGGTCAAGAGCCACCACCAAGGCACAAGGTGGGGTGTGCAGGCCTCCCCACACCCTCTCACCCCGACTCCCTACCTGGGTCCCCGCTGAGCTGGCCTGGCAGTCTGCTTGAGAGCCCAGGGCCCTGGGAAAGGGCCATCAGCTGGGCTTCCTGGCTCTTTGCAAGGTGATTCTGGGGCTCTGCTGGCAGTGGCTCCTGCACCTGGTCCAGAGGGCCATCCCCATCATCAATCACCACAGGGTCCTCACAGTGCTTGAGCTGTAATCCCAGAAAGAGCTTTTCAGGACTCATGGAGAGATCCCCAGCCAGCAAGGACCAGCAGTGGTGCAAAGCCCCTCCCTTGGTCTACTGACCATCACCTCCACAGCTGACCACTGGAGGCTCAGCCTAGGTCTTGAAAAGGGTTGTAAAGGAGGAGGACTTATCATCCCCCTAATTAGAGCCTTTAGGGAATATAATATGCTTTACTGAGAAACCAATACTCATGTGGGCCTAATCAAAGCACAAAGTTCTAGACAGGCCCTGGCCAGTTTGGCTCAGTGGTTAGAGCGTCGGCCTGTGGACCAGAGAGTCCCAGGTTCGGTTCCCGCTAGGGGCATGTACAAAAACAAAACAAACAAAAACGTTCTAGACAGAATTTCTCATCCCTGCGGGGAAGTGGGGGGGAGGGCTGCATGGCCCACCTCCTCACACTGCTACCCAACCCGCTCTTACCCTCTCCTCCCAACCTCCAGCCAGCCCAAAGCAGCTGCTCCACTCACCCACTGCCAGGGTCTCCCTGGCTCCCGCTCCAGTGCCTCCACAGCAGCCACAGCCTGCTCTCCACTCTCAGGCTCCTGGGCTCGAACCCAGCCCTGGATCTCATGGGGTAGGATGGCCAGGAACTGCTCCAGCACCAGCAGTTCCAGGATCTGCTCCTTGCTGTGCCGTTCAGGGCGCAGCCATCCCCGGCACAGGTCCCAGAGGCGCTGCAGGGCCTCACGGGGGCCCGCTGCCTCCTGGTAGCGGAACCGGCGGAAGAGGCGTCGGGAGGACTCGGGGCTGGGAAGCTCACCCTGGGGGCCAGGGTTCTCTCCCGGTGGGCTCCTCATTTTCCTGGGCTCCTCACTTTCCTTCGGAGCCAAGACTCGGGGGCACAGGGCTGTGGGCATGATGGGATTTGATGGGGGTCAGCAGCAGAAGACGACCCTATTTCCAAACAGAAATCACTGGCTTCAATACTCTGAACTCTTGCAGTAGGTGCCAAGGGTGGTGATGGAGAAAGTGACAAGGCCCAGAGACCAGCACTTGGGAGAAGCCCTGGGACATGTGTGAAGTATCAGTGTGACTGGCCCTTACACAAAGAGAAAGAAGAACTATCACCCCCCAACAGCATCATTACATGATCCTCCTAACTGGTCAACCAGACAATCAAGGCAGGGAGTCTGAGAGAAAAGTGGTGGCCTTTCAATGTGACAAAGGCATTCCAAGCATTCCAGAAAACAGACAGGGCTACATGCAGGAGAGAGAAGGAATTAAGACTCTGTGGTACCTTCAGTGGCCACGTCCTCCTGGAGACCTGGGAGGGCTGAGCTAAGCAGGCTGCTATCTTGGCGGCTTCTGAGCCAAAGTCACAGTTCCTGCCCTTGAGACCTTTACAACATGAGTTGGAAAGACAAAGACAGATGTTCGGGGTAAGAGCCATGAAGGCATAGCCAGTAGGGAAAACCCATCCTGCTGGTGGCCAGCGCTGACTATTGGTACTAGACCTGCTAGATCCACACAGACAGACCTGGCCCTGCCCCACCAAGTCTGCCCTAGGAGACAGAGTTCGTGAAGCACATGGCTGAGAAAATACCCAGACAAGTCCTAGCCAGTTGGTTTGAATGCTGTCCCGTACACCAAAGGGTGGCAGGTTTGATTCCTGGTCAGGACACATACCTGGGTTTCAGGTTTTATACCCCACTAGGGGTACATACAGGAGGCAATGGATCCATGTTTCTCACTCACATCAATGTTTCTCTCTCTTTCTCCCTCTCTCTCTCTCTCTCTCTCTCTCTCCCTCTCTCTCAAATCAATCAATAAAAACGTATTCTCAGGTGAGGATTAAAAAAACACACCAAGAAATGGGACAGTCAAAAGTGACAGCCACTCCCTCAGATTCCTGGAGAAAAGCAACACTATTTATTTAAAAACACCAGCACTTTGCCCTGGCCAGTGTGGTTCAGGTGGTTGGGTGTCATCCTGTGCACTGTTCAATTCCCAGTCATGTGGCGGATTTTGGGCTCAATCCCCAGTGGGGACATGCAGGAGGCAGCTGATCCCATGCTTTGCTCTAACACTGATGTTTTTCTCTCTCTAAAAAATCAGCCTCCCCAGGGCTCACTCACTAAAATCTGAATAGTAAACTTTAGCATATATCTAAAGATGCCTTACTCTTCAACCCTGCCTCTGCCAGAGTTCTCTACCCTTGCCATCTTCAAACCATGATGAAGGCACCTTGCACACACCAAAGAGCCCTTCTGAGGCAGAACAGAGATGAGGTGCTGAAGGTACAAGCCCCAACTGAGCACAGTGAGACTCAAGGCCCCTCCACCTCCCCAGTGACCATATACAGGCCACATAAAAAAGTAACAGCCACTACTCATAGTCTATAGAACCCAGAGAAAGTCCCTCCCCCTCTCTCAGGCCTCTGAGACCACTGGGCACAATCATTAGACCACCACACCCAGATTGTTTGAGGCACCCTAGCTTAACCTTAACCTTCAACAGCTCAGGGCCCCAAGGGTCCCATGTGGAATGCAGGCCTCCCTCCGATTTCACAGGAAGGCCAGAAGACCCACAAAGCCATGAAATGGCAGTCAGAAAATCCCAAGTGTACATCAGCTTTGCTTTCCAAAGGAAAACAAACAGACTAGCAGAAAAGGACTCAAGGAGTCTGGTTGGGCACGTTAGTTCCTTCAGTGCCTGCTCCTGCATATGAAACCCAGTCTCTGGCTCCACCAGCCCAAAGACCCTGAACTCAGCCATCATACACCTGTAGGGCCTCTGGGTTCCTCAGGTCTGCCCCAACCTAGGGGACCTAAGCCCCACCCTCAGCACTCGGTGTCCGCTTAGAACCAGTCCTAACCAGACAGCTGCGTTCCTCTTTGTCACCCATGCACCTGGAGGTAGGAGGCTCAGGAGTGATGCCTGATGAATGAACAAACGTGAGTCCCGGGTCCGGGAGGATTCCCACGGGGCAGGGTGGGGATTAAAGCAGCTCACGGAGGAGGGACAGCGAGTGATCAGCAGAAAGGAAAGGAAGGGCATTTTAGCCCAGGGAAAGGGAGAGCTTTTCCTCGCTTCCCCTCTCTCCCGCTTCCTCCCAATGCGCGCGCGCGCGCGCGCACACACACACACACACACACACACGCACGCGCGCCCCCAGTGTAGCCAGCGCGCGCGCGCACACACACACGCACGCGCGCGCGCGCGCGCCCCCAGTGTAGCCAGCTCCCGACTCCTCACCTCACAGCCTGAAATTCCTTCCTAGCATCTAACTCAAATCGCTCCTGCTGCGGCATTAGTCTCTGCAGCTGTTCTTCATGCTTCCCAGCCAGGCTTTCGGCGTCCTTTCCAAGGCGGGCTCTCTGCAGGGCCAGACTCTGTCCCCAGCCAGACAAGCCCTGTCTCCTGCTCATTCAGAAAACCACAGCTCCACTTCGGAGTGAAGCAGTATAAACAAATGCAGACACCTGAAAAACAATACTGGTGTTGTCTTACCGCCTCCAGCCGCAGATCCAGCGACGGTTGGCTCCGGGATGGAGGACGCGCCGGGCTGAGGGGCGCAAGGGATCAGGGTGCGCGGGGCTGGGAGTCCAGGGTGCTTGGGACTGGGGGAAGCGGTGGGAGGGCTCCGCACGAGCCTTTAGGAGCCCAGCCCCACTCACCACCACAGCGCGTCCCAGTTGGCGGGCCGCGCAGCCTGGGCCGCCACCGAAGCCCGCCTGACGCGGAGGAAAGGAAAGGCCGGACCCTCGGCTCCCTCCCCTGGGACACTTCCTGCTCCACTCTAGGACCGCGGAGGTCTCAGCATCTCAGTGGTTCGCTCCCCGCCCCCAGACCGAGGTGTGCGCAGGGGTGATATCCGACACCCCCCCAGCATGGCCTGCGCGCTGCCCCGCCCCTCTCCTCGCACGTCCGGCCCGCCGCCAGGGCCAGCCTCCCTATGGCACAGCGCGTGGAGGGCGCGGTGGGTACGACCCCCTGCAGGCAGTGACAGAGGACGCCGAAGTCATGAGGGCGCTAGGGGTCTGGGCGATCCTCTTCACTGTTCTCCTCACTCCGCGCCCCCAGGGTTTGTGGATGCCCGGAAGGGCCTATCTGGGGCCTGAGCTGCCGGCTGGAATGGGGAAAGGAAGCCGCTCCATTTAGGAATCCCTTGTGACCGCCCTTGGCAGGCGCCACCCACTAATAGCCAAAACCCGCTTTCTGGGCCAGCTGCGCAGCTCAAGAGGCGAGTAGGGCTAGAGAAATGTGGACATCCCTCTCTCTGCCTCCTCCGCCTTGGGACGCCCAGGTGTTAGTTTGCACTTTCTTGGGGTGAAACAGATTTGTGGAGTTTCAGTTTAAGAAGGTTACCTGCTGCATGGCCTTTCTGAGCATGAGAACAAGGCTGGGGAGAGCCCAGAGGGTCCCGGTGAATCTCACCCGGAGCATCTGGTGGGGAAAGCTTGGTGCTCTTGGTTCACACTGGGCCAGGAACGCAGGGAGAAGTTAAAGACCTCTGGAAGTCAAGTGGCAGTGATGGGCAAGCAGGAATTAGGGCCTTAGGATCCGGCAAACACTACCCTACGCTGAACATTGCCTGAGTCAGGAGGGGTCTTCCTGGGTCATCCTTAATCTTTCAGATTTCGGAGCTTGGGAGAAAGAGTGCCTCTGGTCTCCTGAGCAGGTCTGATTCCCTCAAACCTCTCCTTCATCGACCCTGCACTTAAGTTAAACTCTCGGAACAGAAGGCAGAGAAAAGTCTTTATGTACCAGAGGGTCACCTCACTGCATACATCTCTGCTTACAGTCAGACCCTGTTTCAAGGGCAAGCAGAATAAACCAGTTCCCCTAATGAAAATGGCCCAAGTGGGTGGGGAGGAGGTGAGTGGGCCAAGACACCAGATCCTTGCCCTGCATGTCTCCTCATTCCATGGCCTGGTGCCTCCTGTTTCTTCCTTTAAATTACAAATTGTCACTCTGACTAGGGAAAGTTACTAAGAGCCACATTTGTCAAATGCCTGGACTCTGACTTCAGCAGGAAGTGAACGAAAGCAAAGGAGTGAAGCTCTTTTTTGTGAACAGTGATTGCCTCCGGAAATACCAGGTGCTGGCAGGGTCACCCAGAGAGTGCATCTGGAGCCTGCGAATTCAAATGGGAGCCACCCCTGTCCAACTTCACTGAACTCAGTGTTAAGCCCCCCTCTCAGGAGCACCAACCAGCACCATTGCAGCCATGGAGCCAGAAGAGAGGTTCCCAATAGGAGGAACCAGGGACCAGAGAGGTAGGCTGGACTTCGGTGCTTTAGCAAACAGCCCACCCTGTGGCACTGTCTGGAGGTCCAGACCCTCTGCTAGAGCTCTAAGCCCTGTGACTGGCTGGGGAACCAGCTGTGAGTGTTGAGAATTTGTGCTTCTCTTTCTGCTTAGTGTATCCCTAAAGCAGGTAAAATGCAGAACCCAGAGATTGCTAGCACACAGCATCATGTCAGTCCCCACTGCCCAGACCAGCTCCTTCCCTTGAACAGATACCTCCCTGCAAATTGTTGACCTGTCTCAGCTCAGAGCTTGCCCTCACTTTGCATTTCTCTTGTATTTCACTAAGCACAGAGGTTAAGAGCCAGAGCATCTGGTTTAAATCCTGCCTCCCTGACTCCTTACTAGGTGATCTCAAGCCAACTTAACTTTTCTGTGACTCATCCAGAAAACAGAGATGATGCTGTCCACCTCATTGGGTGGGTATGGAATTATTCATATCAAGCACCTACTAAGCTCTCTTAGTGCTAGGTACCTTTCCAGGTGCTCAGAGTACATCTGTGAACACCACTAGCTCCTGAGGGGAACAAGCAGTTAGCAAAATCAATACCACAATCTGCTAAGTTTGATTCATGCTGCAGAGGAAAAGAAAAGTGGAACAGTGTCAGGTAACCATAAGGGGGTGCTGGGTCCCTGTATTAAAGAAGTCAGGGCAACATGGCTCTTTCTGGAGCATGTCCATGCCTTTCCTGTCCCCCCACGTGCATTACCTTTACCTTTCTATTTCTCCTAAGCCACATGGGCCCTTCTTTTGTCTCTGTAACATGTTTCCTGAGCCCATTTTATCTGCCTCTTTGACTTCCTAAATGAACTTTCTTATAAAAAAATTTGTTTTTAAAAAGTCAGTCTTGGCCAGTATGGTTCAGTGGTTAGAAAGTCAACCAGTGCACCTAAGGGTCACCATACCTGGTTAAGGGCATATACTTGGGTTGCAGGTTCAGTCCCTGGCCCAGTTGGGGTGTGTGTAGGAGACAACCAATCGATATGTCTCTCTCACATGATATATTTCTCTCTCCCCTCTCCCTCCCTCCCTTCCACTCTCTAAAAATCAATAGAAAAAACACCCTCAGTAAGGATTGACAACAACAACAAAAAGTCAGGGCAGACTCCATTGCCATGGTGACATCTGAAATGAGGGAGTGATTAAGCTCAAGCCTGGATAAGAACAAAGTTCCTATAATGTCCCTTCCAGTTTGAGGACTAGTTCCATGGGTATGAATATTGGTTTAAATAGGATCTGGACATTTTTTTCTGCCAGAATTGATGTTACAATATTTAGCAGCATTTAACCAATATTCCTCTAAAAGTGCATTTTCATCAGATATTCAACTAGTAAAATAGGTGTGGGAAGTTGGAAAGGCCTTCAGAGGAGATTGTGAATAAAAAGAAATTATATGCAAAATCTCGAGACTAAAGCAATTCATTATTACTGAGGGAAGCAGAGTGAGTGCAAGCACAGGTGAGATGACCACAGAAGGTTGTAGATGCCACGTTAAGGAACTTCATTTTATTGGGGTGGCCCAGAGTGGTGGCCAGTGAAAAAGGGGAGTGGGGTGTCAGCTGGGATGGAGGCACCGGGAGCCATGGGAAGGTGCCTTCCTTTGTACCAAGTGGGATTGTGTTATTTGCTACAGGTGAAGCACCAGCAAGGAAACCCTACTCTGCTGAAGGCCCACCAGTCAATCTGTATATGTATTTGGTTTATATTACTGCTGCTGATTATGTATGTTTTTATAACATGCTTGCTGTGTGCCACCAATTGTTCCATCCTTGGAAGGCCATAATGGACAGAAGATTGTGGCTTCTGGAAGCTGAATCAGACGGTAAATAAATGGCTCTTCAATATAATGCCATTGTTGATAGATGCCATAAAAATGAAATAAAAGGAAACAGTAAGGAGGAGCCTGCCATGGCAGTCAGGTAGGACCTTCATGAGGTGGTATTTGAGTGCAGAGCAGGTAGATGGCAAGCACAACAGAGGTGTGCTGGAAGAGCATGTCAGCAGAGGGAACATTCATGCAAAGCCCATGAAGCAGGAGTTTGGTACTCTTGGAGTTTGGACAGCAGGCCAGCTCTCTAACTGCTAAGCCAGAGCCCTGGCCAGTTTGGCTTAGTGATTAGAGCGCTGGCCTGTGGACTGAAGGGTCTCGGGTTCAATTCCCAGTCAAAGGCATGTACCTTGGTTGTGTTGGGTTCAATCCTAGAAAACCAATCGATATGTCTCTCTCACATCGATGTTTCTCTCTCTCTCTCTCTCTCTCTCTCTCTCTCTCTCTCTCTCTCTCCCTCTCTCTCTCTCCCTCCTCCCCTCCCTCCTTTCGTCCCTCCTTTCCACTATATCTAAATATCCTCCAGTGAGGGTTAACAACAACAAAAAGAATAGTGCAAGAATGCCCAGGATGGATTCAAGTAGTGTGTGGCCTGATAGGACCATTATTTTACCACAATCACCATTCAGAACAAGTTGGAGTAGAAGAAGCAGGTGCCATGTTATAAGGGGCAGCAGAAATACAGGTGGATTTCCCCTCCCTGTGCTGTGTGGCCCTAGAATGAGGAACAGCTGTGGTTTGTGCCTGAATTGCATCCAAAAAAGAAAGCAGATATCTGGGAGGAAGTGATGGTGAGTTTTGGTCTTGCTGAGTCTGAGATGTCCAAAACACAAGCAGTGATGACCTTCCTCGGAGAAGGGTGAGGCGATTGAAACCCTGTGATGTACAAGGGCAATAGAGAAGCAGCCTCAGAATGGAAAGGGCTGACTCACCAGGGCCATGCCAGCTTTGGAAGCTGGGAGGAGAGGAGAAGAGGGGAGGGTAAAAGGGGAATAGGCTTGGGGGGGGAGGGGAAGAGCAGCAGCCACCCCAAGGTGTAGGGAAATATGGGCAAAGTCCAAATCCAGACAGGGAACTGTGGTTTAAGGAAGATGGCTGGTCAATGTGGGTGAGTGCTGTTTCAAGATCTAATTAGATGAGGAGAAAACACTGATGAGATCACTGACATAAGATTTGGTACAGGCCCTGGGCACAGCAGAAGTGCTGGAACTGCTGGGCTGGAGCATTTTGGAGAAGAAAGTGAGAGAGTAGAAATGGCTAGGTGGAGAAAAGTGTC